ACATCCAAACTGGCTAGGCTCCCACAAAGCCAGAACTTGAAGTAGGATCAAAACCCAGTGGCACTGTCCTTGGCTTCTCAGCAGCCCTCATTGTCCACCATATTCAGAGAGTCGGGTTTTATCCCATGCTTTTTCAGTCGCAGTCCAGCTGGCCTTGGTGAGCTCACAATAGATCAGCCCCACTGTCTCCGTGGGTGGGTGCACCCCTCATGGTCCTTTTTTAAAGAATAAGAATGTCCATGCCTTCTCCGACTCTAGAAGCTGAAGTTACCTTGTCAGGTGTTAGAAGTGTTTTCTCCATACTTCCAGAAACTTGAAGTACCCCATGCTAATAGCAACAGCCTTTTGGCATTTATCTCCAAGAAGAACTGCAGGATATTTCTAGAAAAATTAAAAAGTGATTGTATTGCTCAGTCTGGTCTGCCAGGTTCATTAGAAAAGAACCTTACCAGCAGTATACTCACAAAGTCCTCACGACCTCTATGAACCCAGCTAGAAACTCTGGGAGGCTAAGGGACATTTAAACTGAAATTGTCAGATTTCCATCACTCCAGGGCCCCTGAAGGCTCAAGTTGAGAAAGTAAGATCATATGCAAGCAAGGTGATCATGGGATCTCAAGTATGACAAGCAAGCCTACATAATCTCACACCGCTTTCATGTTGATGTTAGCCAGAATGAGGTCGAAGTGACACAGTTCTTCTTGTGGAATGTCTGTCTTAAGTATACAATCTGTCTTGGTGAGCACCATAAAGAGTTAAAAGAAGTCATAATCTTTAGCCAGTGTGTGAGGAAATTATTTCAATACCTAATATTTCCAGAATGTTAGGTTGGTACTAAAAGATGTATGAACTGTTGTACTATTAGACAATTATTCAGTGTTTTGAACACACCTTTGTCAGACTTCAAATTGTTCAATAAGCTAAAAACATGACATAGATTATTAATTTTAAAATTTGTGATGGCACATGCCTTTAATCCCAGCAGAGGCAGAGGCAGGCGGATCTGTGGGAGTTTGAGGCCAGACTGATGAACAAGAGCTAGTTCCAGGATGGGCTCCATAGC